TTTATCATAAGTGACCTATTACCATTAAAAATGATGGCTCGACTTTGTCGACAAAATCTCCCATTCCAACTAAGAACATTGCTTTTCCTATGAAGCTTGTAGCAATTATCCATCATATGAACTGATTTTTTGCACTATGTACATCAAATTCCTTCTTCTTTTAATAACTTTGTATCATTTGATTTGTTGATTTGTCACAAATTTTTCCCTTTACACTCAGTCTTTCAACTCTACGGTCATCGTGATTTAGCCATCTATGTTCCACAAGTCAAGCTTTACACTCTCACTCCCCTCCGAATAAATTAGGATACAAAGTTCAATAGGAGATGGTAAACACTCTTTTTGTAGCACTTGTATTCAAATGTACATAAAATTCAAAAATTATCTCCCTTTCAACAAACTTCTTTAGCATTACAGCATCATCATTGTATTTCATCTTAATATTTTAGCAAATTTCAAGCCAAAACTCTTCAATTAATTATAGTATTCTATGAAAAACGAGTATCTTATTTTGTTGTCGATATCCACATTTTGATTTCGCGGATCAAATTGACACTTTGCATAATTGCATCTTTTAAAAAGTTTGATAAATGGCTTCTCAAACTTCCCAAGCAACAGTAAAGAACGGGCAATGTACACCAATTTCTAGCTGTATAAAATTCCCCAATAATGACATGCTCAAGGATTAGTCTTCCTCATTTGAAGATTATACATTAGGTGTTATAAATCTAGCCATGTTTTGATACGGTGACTTAGCTTCCATCTCCACTTTAGCAATAACTTCATAATTTGTGGCAAATAGAGATATTTTATTTTGTTTGACCAATAAACTTAGTTAATATTTCCACGCTCCTCAAAGGACTAACTTATTGATGATTCCTAAACTATCCAATTGATTTTCAAAAGTTTCATAAATTTGAAGGTTAAGTAAACAAAGATAGGACGTTAGAATTAAACAAATGTTGATAAAAGAGCCCTTGGAAGAATTTTAGATCCAAAATCTAGACAACAATATAGGTTGACAAATAAATCAACAATGTTGATTGCTTAGACGAAGGATAGCGGACAGAGAGAGGGAAAAAAGCTGACATTCTTGGTAAATAGAGAAATTGAAAAGAATTATATCGATTCAACTTGAAGGTTCCCCAAAAAAACTGTTTTTTTTATATAACAACGAACAAACAAACCACATAATTCTAATGAACAAAGAGAACAATAGTAGAGGCAACTAAGGAACTAAATAAATATAGCAAATAGAAGGAATCATATAGCAAATGGACTAGATCTATAATAGAACCTGCTTTGATATTGCGACAAAATAATAAAACAAAAGTAGAAGAAAGTGTGGAGGATGGAGGAATCAATTCCTATCGTAATTTCTTCGTGTATAGGTGATTACCTTTCTATCATTATTTTTTTGAGGGAGAATGTTGACCTCCTTGTGCATCCCACAGTTCAATCTAATTGAGTACTAAGCAAATGCCAAGAAATGGTTGAGGAATTGTGCAAAATCAGCTTCAAATGCATCACGCATTTAAAAAATAACTCACCCATCACTCAGCTTGTGAAACAACCTACACTATTAGGCACGGAACATCGAGATTATTAAGAGAGGACCTTCATGACTGATACAATCAAACATGATGAAAACAACAAACAAATAAAACAATGCCACATAAAATATGGTTTGAAATGACTTGATCGCAATCAGCCATATCTTGCTCGATTCGTAAAATGGATTGTGCTAATGTGTCCAAAACATCGAAAAGAACACCACTAGTGCCCGATTCAATGTACAAAAAATACAAGAAATACACTTGTGCAAGGAGCAATGACACATAATCAACATGTTCAAGCGACAAAAACTTGCAAAAAAGAGTCAACATGCACACAAAATATTCAAAATCAATCAATTCTCAAATCCCCGTTGAAATCCTCTTTTCCCAAAAAAATCTAGCTCTTATCCCTTAAATCAACCTCGCATAATATTGCAGCATAGTTGAAATTAACCTATTTATCCAATCCATGGTTTTGAAAACCATACCAAATCAACCAGTTAAACCATAACCCAGTTATATAGCCCATTCGGTCCACCTTAAAAATCGACCAATCGTGGAACCGGTCACGATTTTTAAGAACTGGCTAGTCCAATAAATATCATGTTTAAATAATTAAATATATGAATTTAATATAAAAATTTTAATTAAATAATAATTAATAATTATAATATGAATTTAACATATAATTTAAAGTTTTTGAATTTATCGAAACATATAATATAAATTAATAATATTTTATATTAAATTTAGCATAAATTAGTAATAATTTATATTAAATTTAGAAGGTTATATATAAACTAAATTTATTTTTAACCATAAATTTATATCATTATATAGTTATTCTATCATTATTATATTATTTATTTTTATTTAAATAATTATAATATTTATTATGTCATCCGATTCAACTTTGGTCAAACCGTTAAACCGTAAACCTCTCATTTTTCCGGTTCGACATCCGGTCCGACTTTCACAACCTTGATCCAATATGACCTCACCTCTTTTAAATAAAATTTAGAAAAGAAGAGAAAATAAAATCCTATTTCGTCTCTACTCGGACCATCATTCATGCATCTCTTCATGCCTTCACCTTCCTTTGTATCCCTCTCTTTCTATTAGCTCCTGAAATCTTGTTTTGCTCCTCCCTCCTCTATTTAGGCTCACATATAAGAGCCCTACCTTCTCGATTACAACCTGAAACCCTCAGGTGACCCAAACAACTCATCTCTCATCCTAGCTCAACACACATTAAGATATGATAAGAACTAAGAGAATTTGTTGAGCATTTAATTTTATCATTTCTACTAAATTCATGCAAGTCTAAGAGAACCTATAGTAGGAAATAGGAATATATAATATTTATAGGATGGAAGATAAGTATAGGATTACTTGTAACTAAGCCAACTCGTATATTGATGAGTTGGCAAAAATGACTCCATGGATCAATGAAATGAATGTGAGAATGAAAAAATCTTAAGGTCTTGGATGTAAGGCTGGCAGGCATTACCATCAGGAGAAGGGGAACCACAAGGAGCTATAGCAGGCAAAACTCTTAGAGCAAAGAGGTGGGTGAATGCCAGACAAGTGGAGGCAATATCTATTAGAGGCAGGGCCTATAGGGGGTAAATGTTAGTGGAGGCATTACTTATCACATAAGCCATGTTACTTTATAAAGCTTAAAATCAATTAGAATCAAGAGGATCCTTTTGCCTTAGCTAATGAAATTAAAGTCCTGCTAGAGTACAAATATTCAGATACCTATCCTCCTAATGCTGAATTGGCATACTAATGAAAACCTATAAGTTAAGAAAATAGAAAAAGAAACATACTGCATTGACCAAAAATACTTTATAGAAAGTCATATTAAAAAATTCTTAGCATTTTTTAGAACCAATAACCATCACAAAAAATGTGTAAAATATTCATATTCCTATTGTTAGAAATAAATTTATGCTAGCTTATAGCCACAAAATTACTCAAGATCAAAACAAACCAAGAATCAAGCCAAATAAATGCAAGAAAAAAAAAACAGGGGAATTTTTTATTTATAGGGTATACAAAGGAGGGCTGAAAATAGAGTGAGGTGGGATGAGAGAAAAGAAAATATTGAATTGTGAAGACTAAGGCCTAGTTGCTTCAAGAAGACAAAGCAAGACAAGTGCCAACTCAAACATGACTCAAGATTCTTTACTTGTTCTTAATTACATATGTTGATTCCGAGCCACATGTGGGTAGTGCTTATTTATAAGACCAAATGACGTGTTACTTTTATGCTTCTACTTCGCAAATAATAGGCGGACGATTATCATAGCAAGAAAGATTACCATCAATCCTTCAATTACTCAGTTGGCTAAATAAAGTTATAATTGTTAAGAAAGTGACACACATCCAACAATTGCCACCACCATACCCACTGTCAATAGATGTGATTATGCCAAAGGGTATTTCGTAATCACTAAGTCATACTCCAATAACTATTTATGCATGGAGCAAAGAACGAGGGATAGTAAAACACCTTGTCGCACATTGTCTCCCCATCTTGATCAATCAAGTCAACCTAATTGAGTTGCCACCCAAGCGTAGATTTACTTCGAACTTTTGCTACCATAAAAGACTCCATAGGACTTTCTCTTAGAAGCTATCAATGCAACAAGTATTGCATAGGCTTATGCAATGATTTATGCTTAATCTTCAATCTTGCAAATAGTTATGCATGGAAATAAAGAGATATTTAAAAGGAAATCAACATCACAGTAGGAGCAACATACAGACATGGCCAGCTAATCAAGTTCATTATGTATTCACTTTCTACTTTTTCACTTATGTTATAATATGCCTTGAAGTGAGTACCAATACAAGTACGTCGAACTTTGTGAGGAAAAACAAAAAGAACATAGCTTAAAGTGTAAATGCTGACACAACGAACAAAAAAGATCAAAGACACCATGAGTGCGCAACAAAATTCAACTCCAATAACAAATCCTTGAAAACCTAATAATCTTGTGGAACCAGTTGACTCGAGAGCAACTCCTCTATCTCAATTCAAGCAACTTATTTTCAATTACATGTATAATCTGCATGCTGCCTAAAAGGAGAAGTAATACGGATGGAATTATTAAATTTTGGATTGATAACTCGACGTCAAGGATTAACAGATATTCACAAGACCTAGGAGACATCTAGAGGCCAAATTTACATTTAACCAAGCGTAGCACTAGATCTACCCAGCACAAGACTTAAGAGTAAGACTACGCAGCACCACCTGCCTACCAATCCCAAAATTAGCAAATAAGCCATACGAGTTGGGAGAAAACGACCAATTCCGCACCTGATCAAACAAAAACGAAACGGAAAACAAAAAAAAAAGCATAAATGCAGCAGCGCAAGCAATCAGCTCCAGACATTTCACTAAACATCAACAAACTCCGCACAAAAACTCACTGGAGTCTTAATGACAATGGCCTCCGCGACCTCAGCAGTGGCATCACGGTGATTTCTCGCCGGCGAGAATCGATGGTACTCATCAGGGGAAACAAAAGGAGGTCTCGATGACGAGAACGGAAGGTTATGTTTCAGTGGATGGAAGATCTGCGCCGGCGGCTGCGTAGGTCGGTTTCCCGCTCCTCGGCCGCCGGACATGTAGACCAAACAGATTCTCCGCCAGATTCTAACAGAAACCCCCGATCTTACAGCAGCAAGCTGAAGATCCGAGCGCAGGCGCAACCCAAGCTAAAACCCTCGTTTCCAGTAGGTTTCTAGTGCGATCTAAGGGCGGCGGCGATCTGGATAAAATCTCAAGTTCTGCTTCAACCGATGCCGATCAGCAAAGCGAAGACCGCCGGACTAGGGTTTCTATCAAGGATCTGCAAGTTCGTAGAGGCGGAGGAGAAGGGAGGGAGAGAGAAGGTTAAAAAGGCGGAGAGCAGAAAACGAGGGAAGCGAGGGAAATTATAGTTCAGATAGAATGGAGGGAAGCAGTGAGAGAATATTGGAAATTAAATAAAGCAACTGGAAATTTCCTACTATAAGGCTTTATATATATATGGAACGTTCGGTGTGGTAGAATCACACGTGAGGAATTTTTTTTCCTTTTTTTCTTAATTATGTTTTATGAATATTCGGAGTGCGGACGGCCAAGCGGCGTTCGAATCGGCGATGCGCGCCCTTTTGGTCCTTCCTCGCCATTATTCATTTTTACCGCCGAAATAAACCCTAGTGGAACTATATAGCTAGCGCTAAATAATAAATATTAAAAATATGAGGAATTTATATCAATAATATTTAAAAAAAAAATCCATTTTTATATTAATATTTAATAGTTTATTATTTATAAATGTAATACTTGAATTTTTAAACATAATTAATATTTTTCATTAAATAATTAACTTTTATATCATCGTAAATATCTCATAAAATTATCAACTCTTTTATCAATGATATCATTTTTATGCGGTATATGTTGCATAGACCCAATCCAACATCGATTAGCTCATCACTTACGTTAGCTATTTTTACTTTTGAGTTAGCATAAACGGCCCCAATATAATATGATATATTGAAGTTGATCGCATCATGTCGAAGCCATGAAGGTGACCCATTTACCAACACCTAGTTGAACGAATTTTTCTTATTTTATTTTTCAATATTTATACTATGGAGCATCTACATCATCAAATAGCGGTAATCATAAATATTTTCATTATCATTTATGTTCACTTTATTCATGAATTGCTGAATGTATGATTTGAAATTGATTATAAAATATTAGATGTTGCCAACCATCTTTTGAATTATTAGCAACTAGTCTTCTATTGTTTATGACTTTTCAACTCCTTTGAATAGTGGTGGTTTTAGCTTATGAAACATATATATATATGCTCATTTTCTTCGTTCTCTTTTATCCCAACTTGTTTACTTTGGGCATCGCTTATCAGTTGGGCTTTCAAGCTGGCAAACAGCATCAATGTATCAGAAATCATTGGAGTTTCCTCTACACTTTATTCATCGGGCACATCTTGATCATTCGAATTCATTTGGGCAATTGCATGATTGTCTTTCTCGACATATAATAATTTCATCACACATGTATATATTATGAAAGCAAGCAAACTTAATCAATTTAAATAGCTCTAGTTATAATATAATGCTTCCACTAATCATTGCTCTAATTTTATTTTGTGATGCTCCAAAATTTAATTTGGAAGAATTATTGATTTAGATATTCTAATCATCTATGATGGCCACTATTAATCAGCCATATAAATTAATAAATATCGTGGAAGTAATCTTCCATTTTTTGTTTCATCAAAATATATATTTTAATTCCAAAAGAACCATTTACATGAGTTATGAAAACATCTTTTAAATTATTTTATCTTAATACATTAATGACTACAATAAATAAACATTAAAAAATTAAAAGAGACACCTATCTTTAGGATTTGATCGGCCTCACTCCACTGAGTCATCACCCTTCCTTGAAATCATGAAAATTTACTTAATGAGCATAAGCCTAGTAGGTGCCAAAACTTATCACTACACCAAATGTAAGAAAAGTATAACAATATGTATATAATCATTCAAGTCATGTTAGTACTATGTATTTTATCAATTCATGTAAATAGAATGAATCGCAAACAATCATAATCATAGAAATGATTGATAATCATTGACTCAATTATAACACAATATCCTATGAAATACTATCATATGAATCGTTGAAGCAATGTGGTTATGCCTTTATTATATCGGTTGTCAATGTTGAATAGTATTATGAATGTCATTCATATGCTCTATTATGTTCTTGCTTATTAATGTATATCCTTATGCATGTTGTGTCATATTATGCATACAACATGTACATATTCTAATGTATCATATATTTGTATTATTATGCAGCATGTTGATGTATCATAACATATATTATATAGCTTATGCATGTTTATGTAATTTGTAATCATCATATAATGTATGCACGGGACATTCAGCTAACCATATGGTGTTTTTCTGTATGTTGTTACAAATTATCATATCATATAACATGTCAATGTGTCAGGTGACTATTTTGGAAGAGTCATCACTCTTGTCTATCAACATATCTTGTTCACTTATAACACTCTATTTTGTATGTTATATCTTGTTTATGTACACTATAAACTTATAATTTAAATTAATGTATTTTAACATAGCCTTTGTATATGGCATTAGCTAGCTTTCCTTACATCACACAAAAATTATATATCTTATATGCCACGTCTAACATGTCATCATATATGCATATTCCACAACGTAACATGTAGATTATTTTAAAATTATTGCACCAATATTAATTCCTTATTAGTGCACTTACAACATTATACATGCTGTTTTCATGTGAAGTGACATATATCGTATGCATGGCAGGCCACGCTTGATGAGATGGAGGCTTCAATCTCCTAGATTCACATTTATGTATTTATTATTGTCAGTTCAATTAAAATATTACACAAGTAATTCTACCTGGTGAAAATATGAGATGATTATACTAAAATGTGTAAAATAATTATATCTATCATATATCAAAAGAGTGTTGCCAGTGTATTTACTTCTTTTTTTGCATATATATAGCTGGTTGAGATATATTTTGATTTATTAATTGCCTAGGATAATCTTGTAGGAGAGTTTAGAATTTTTATTTTTATATAAAATATAATTTGTTTGGGATGTTAAGCGTTATGAAAGTTGAATTTTGAGTCGGGATGCATAGGTCCAAATGTTGGACTCGAAAGAGAAAAGGATACCCCATTGGGTGATAGCCCTTTTCTATTAGGTAGTCCAAATTTGGATCATCTTTTTCCTACCCAAAGAGGAAAGGGTGGCCTTCCGCTTAAAGAAAGAGCTCTCTTCTGCATTTGGGTAGCCTACTACGAAAAATTCAAAGAGCCCGAAGGAAAAAAAGACTAAAGAATTGAAGACAAATAGTATCCCACTCAAAGTTATTTACGTCTTTATTAGGAATAGAATTCGAGTTATTGTCAGTGGTGCCCCGCCACTTTACTTTTTGAGACACTAGGTTCTAATAAGCAAGACAGTTTGCCTATGGATATTTATTAATTAATTCAATTATATATAATGTGTTAATGTGATTGCGTACAAGAATGCTTGCTTTTATTAGTTTTTTGATGTTTTTGTGCCGCTTTTATTTTAGCATGGATACATGAGGTTAGTGAGGGTGTGAAAAGTTTTATACTCATAAATAAAAGTTTAAAATTTTAGGAGTTAAACAACATAGAAAGGTATTGAATATAGAGAATTAGATAGGGATCGCCCTGGGGTCACATGTATATTTACGCATTTCTTTTTTCCTTATTTTAGACATTTCCCCACCTGCGGGTAGAGTCCAAATAATTTGACCTATGAGGATGAGGTGCCGGACCTGGAGAACCGTTGTCTTCTAAAAGAATTATTTTTAAGCCTTAAAAAAAATTAAACATCATGATTTGGTTATGTCGACTTGCATGCATTGCATTAGAAACCCATTTAAACGAGTCTAAATTTTAATTGCATCAGTGTTTTGCATTTTCACTCAATATAAGTCAAAGGGGTCACTGAGGACCATCTCTAGATGTCGGCCAAACTCTCCAAAACTTTAATAAAAACGTCTTTATCACTTTATCATAAAAATGATCATACTCGTGTATTTAAAATCGACTAAGTGGTTAGATGGCTCCCCAATATAGGCTGGGGTAAGTCCAGACCTTGCACTGTATTAGCTAGGTTTGAACTACTGTGGTCTAGTCACTACAGAAAAACTGCCCATTACCGGCAGAATTTTCCGGCGGAGTTTCGGCGGAATTGTTTACGGACGTCTTTCCGGCGCATTTCCGACGGATCTTCCGGCGGATTTAAAATTTTATGTAAATAAATAATTTGATAAATTATTATAATCAATTTTAATATAATAAATAATTTACTAATAACTCGAAAGAAGAGATTTTCCTGTAGTGAGTGTCCAAATTTAAATTTAAGATACGGGGCGGATTTTGGATCATAAGATCCCAACCTCTGGGAATATAATTCTAAATTTCTAATGAAATGATCAACTTTAATTAATTTTTTTTTTTTCAATCCAAAATATAAAGCTCAACACTTAGATTAAGTTAGGATGGTTCCGGAATCCCAAAGTGTCCCCTATTATTCTTCCTTTGAATATGTTAATAATTGCTGAATCTTGACCCATTCCCTTTTTGAAATTCCAAAATTCACTTTCTTTGACATCACTTCTAGAAAATCTTTAATAAAATTTCGCTACTATTTTAATCGAGAGTTTTTGTATGGAACTCGGACTTCCTACGATGTAATTAACTGAGAGGGCTTGTGCTCATAGGAGATTTAGAACCACACACACTTGATTTTCAAAACTCACTTGATATTTCTTGAGAAATCTACTTCATAACGATCATTATTATCATAGTCATATGGTTGCTAACAGATGATATTATCTTTCTTTAAAGAGATTTATCATGTGTTAACATCAATCCAAATATGAAACTAATTTTCTCTTGATTATCGTGATCCGATTTTAGATTGAATCCCATTTTGATCCTACAAGGGTCGTATGTAGTTATACCTTTAATCAAACTACGATAGCCTAGAGAAAATTTATAATTATTAATTTGAACCCGTAAGGAGATTTTATCTCTGCCTTTTTTAGGTGGTATATCACCCCTAATGGTCTGTTCAATCTCATAATTGAAATTTGAATTTAATCTTAAAACTCCCAAAATAAATTTTCAAAACTTAAAACAATCCCTCTTTGGAAAAATTTAATCAACGATAATCGTTATCGTCATGACTGAATATTTACTAAACAATAATTTTATTCTTCCTTATGGGAGCTATATCATGTGTTCATAGGGTTCTTGAGCATGAGATCAATGATAGTCTACTTAGGATACCATAGCTAGAAATTAGATCGAACTCCAACTTGATCTTTCGAGGTCATACGCAGTTCTGTCTCGGATCTG